GGTGATTGAAAAACATCGGTATCGTCCTCCAGAAACTGTATCGAAATACCTTAATCAATAACCGTCTTACTCCACGTCGGGGTAAATATGAGCATACACTACTCTCTATATACATGTAGCTCGTTTTGTCGGACCGCTACGTGCCATTTATATTATTACGTCTTTTATGGAGTACTAGCCAAATACCAGGTTTCTTGTTGTTACTGTGGATCAATAGTTAAACTGGATATGCTGTATACCTCACTTTCAAAAAAAGGTTAAAATCAAGTTCTTCAAGTCAACCGTGTTTTGAAGAAACCCAAGTTTTGACGGGATATGAATAAATAAGCGTTGTTGCTGTTAAATTGACCAAGCTGTTTAGCATAAAAAAGGAAACGAACTGAAGAACAGAAAAAAAGCCCCAGAGTGGATTCAAGTCTCATCTTAAAATTAATGCCCTTTGTTTCAAAAAAGGTCACAAGAAGAGGGATAAAATGTTTATGCACGGTACTATACTCAGAAATTCGATAACTCTGTAGTTTTTTATAGGCCTGTTGCTTTCTTCAGTGCCAGTAAAACAACTAAAGACGCTGTGGAAGCGTATATCTGGGCGTCGATGCAATACGTGTGGGTGAGATTTTTTATGTGTGTGAAAGGTTTGAACCCAGGAGTCATTTCAAAAGTAGGTTGAGTTTGATCGTCCGGGTGAACGTAGTCCTGAATAGGACTGTTGTTGTTGACATTGGCTGACGTTTCGACAACCTGTGCGGTAGTCATCTTCTTCAGTCTCGTAATCAGTAATTGGTGCGTTTCGATCCGTCTGTTGTCACAGTTAAACAGTCGTCTATTGTTAGTCAAATTGTCAGTTCTCCAGTCGTTCTCTCGTAGTTAGTTTTGCTTGATCGCGTCAATAAGTCGTTTGTACGGCGCTGGTAACTGTTGGCTACGATTCAGTGGCGTTTGTTTTAAGTTAGTAAACCAGCTTTCTAAAGTACGACGTTGATAGTAGTCTGTAGAATACGTTATACATGTCGCAGAGTCCCAGTCAATTTGATGTTTCGTCTGTAAATGGTGCTCAGCAATGTGATTGTTGACGTCACCATTCCTCGTTGCTCGTTTGTGTTCGGTCAGTCGCGTGCTTAGGTTTCTGCCGCTGTCACCAATGTAAGAAGCCTGGCACTCGCAGCATTTGATCTTGTCTACTGCCCCGTGTCTGTCCTCCAATTTGTCTTTGTCCTTGACATTAGTAAGCAGTCGCCGTAAAGTGGTTACCGGTTTGTGTGCAACACATATATTGTAAGGTTGTAATATACGTATAATAGTTTCACAGGTGCCTCTGAAACTATTGCAGGCTGTCAGGTGAGTCGCAGACTAGTTGCGCTCGCCTCGTCAGAGTCCGGATGGTAGTAGCCTTATGAGAGGTCGGGTTGTACGAAGAATCGAATCCGATCGACCAAGGATAACGTCAGAAGTAGAGCGACCTCTACTTTACAATCAGCCTCATTACCAAACAGTAACTTGACTCCTGACGGACAGAAAGTACTTAAACGACTGAAAACAGACGAGAACATAGTCATACTGACCGCAGACAAGGGACGGGCGACTGTTGTTATGGACAAGACAGACTACAACGGCAAAATGGACTCGCTTGTTAACGACAAACAGACCTACGAAGTACTTAAACGAGACCCGACACCCGCACTGCAATGCAAAATTAACAACAAACTGTTTACACTGACGAAAACCGACAAGATCGCCTTCGACGCTACAACAGACTGAGGTCTGGTCCAGAGGGCAATAAGCTGGTTGACGGCAGTGTCAAGCCTTAGGTGCGGGTACGGCGTTTGTTTTCTGTAGGGTGGATATTGTTGTGGCCATCAATTTTTTGCTATAGATTCGGCATGCAGCTGTAACTGATCTTAATTGTGTTCCGGTTGAAGAATTACCGAAGGGCCATGCGCTGCATAAAATCTTCAACCGGAACACAGTTAAGATCAGTTACAGCTGCATACCGAATCTAAAGCAAAAAGTTGATCGCCACAACAAATCCACCTTACGGAAAACAAACGCCGTACCACCTAAAGCTTGAAACTGCCGTCAACCAGCTCATTGCCCTCTGGACGGTAATTGCTTAAAATCAGCCGTGATCTAGCAAGCCACAGTAGCAATGGAGACAACAGGCCCGCCGAGACCTATGTAGGCCTTACTGAGAACTCTTTTAAGACCAGATACTCGAACCATAAGTCTTCTTTCAGAGACCCAAACAAGAGACTCAGTACGGAACTCAGTAAGCACATCTGGCACTTGAAAGACGCTAAGATAGGATTTAGCTTAATTGGAAGATCTTAAAGCAAGCCGCGCCGTTTAATCCCTCTTCAAATCGCTGTAATTTGTGCCTGTGGGAAAAATATTTCATCATTTGCAGAGCCGATCTGGCGAGCTTGAACAAACGAAATGAACTTGTAACTTCCTGCAGGCACGCGCGTAAATTCCTTCTTAGCAGCTTTACATCTTCCGTTGGCACGCAATAGTTTTTATTCAAATTCTGCGCGCGCGTTTGTAGTCCTAGCGTATGTTGTAACGAACTTTTTGTTGGCAATTTTATCTGAGGAGTGTAGTACATGCCGTGCGGTACGAAACTAAGTACTAATAAAAATATGCCAAGTCTAATCTCCAGTTGACACCAGACAACCTTGATTATACTACGCTCCAGTCCTTCTATTAAGCACTCTGCCGAGCCGTGCATATGCATCACGTGAAAGAAGCGAATTCATGAGATAAAGGCAAAAGGCTACGACGTCATTGGTATTAATACATTCCTGCGGGCAGTCATGCATCTACATTAAAACGTTTAATTTAGTCTCCTTTTTGTATTATACTACTCCAGGAGCCGATTACTTGGAGCCTCCATATATGCTGTACCCTTGAGTCAACCCATTCGCGTAAAGAATTACTTTTAGAACAGGCTTTCCCGCGAAATTATTGTGTTTTCGAGGACGTCCGCATATTTCCGTAGTGAGAAAAAAATGGCGACGAAAGAGGGAAATTGGCCAACAAGTTTACTCCTTATTCCATCACCGTAGCTCCTGCCTCCGTTCCCTCCTTTACAACCGAGGAAAGCTGGTTGCGAGTTAATATAAGTAATATGTAATCTGGCTTCAAAAGATTGCTATATTTTGTTGCAACGCGCGAGGTCGTGTTTGCTGTTCTAGCACTGTTCGGATGTTTAAATTTTGCTCGTAATGTCGTATTCCATCGCCCTTATTTAAAAGGAGCCTTTCAAAGAATTAAAAAATGAAACTGTTTGTTGAAGAGCCAGACTTTTTAAAAGGGAATTGGAGCTCTTACGGTAAGGTCTGTAACGGTTGATCGTGGAACAGGCAAATCGGAGGCAATTTTGCGCCTTTGTAAGTAGTAATTGTTATGTCTTCTATCTAACGCAACCTGGGGTAGCGAAAATCAAGATGTTTTCCTCATGATTTTGAAGGATTTCCTTTAACGAAGCAAAAACGTCGAAGTGAACAAAGGTATCGGTTTATGTTGTCGGGATTTTTATTCATTTTGATGGTGCTATAAATTATTATTTAGTTGCCACAAGACAAGAAAGCTATAAAAACCCTTTGAGTGCAGAATTATCAAACTCAGGAAGAAATTAAACACTGTTTGGCAATCACACTATTTCTCAAGATGCTACAAGATTTCATGGCCGCAGCATATACTTGTAGACCTTGGATAACTGCAAAAGGAATATGCAGGAGGATGTGACATGCCGAAACATCTAACTTCCGCTGTGAAGCCTCTGAGAACCTTTCTTTCATTCAAGGATTTTATATCTTTTGAAGTCGCTGGCCCCATCGGCTCGCTCCTTTTTTTAATTTTATGACTGCTTTTTATTTTCCTTGTTTACATGTTACTTAGTTTCTTGGTAGCGAGAGAAAAATACCAGGCTCAATAAATTCTGTATTGACGGGTTGTTGTATTGTGGGAATGAAACCCTCAGTATATTAGGTACACAACAGTAAATTTTCGATTTTCATTCCTGTTGAACATCTCGTTTGTTTTGTTTGATATGTCCTCTTCAAATATTTGCCGTTGAGATTGTATGTTGTCAAAAGCCGTTTTCAACCACAGCCACAGTAATTTGGCTTATAAAACTCCGTTCATAATTCGCGACCTCAGATCTCGACCAATTACAGCCAATTACAGCCGCCGCGCAAGCGAAAGATGCAGTCCGTGTTCGATCTGTAACATAGTTGGAACAACATACTTTTTACTTCAAAATTAGCTGTGGGTTGATGCGGTGTGGTCCTTTGTGGAATTAGTAAAAAGCTCCAAAGCTTTGTACAAGTGAGTTAACCAGTAAAGTAAAGTAGCTAAAGAGCTTGATTTTCAATATTTATTTACCCGCTGTCGAGGGCCGGGACTGGGTTGTTCGTGGTAAAACTAATTATTTTATGCAGCTAACTGTCAAGATTACAAGCAAACTTGAAGACGTCGCATGAGTGTATCACCTTTTTTTTCTATTAGGCTTTAAGCGGATTTTTTTAACCCGAAAGAAGATCAGGACTATCATCAGATAAATCTTCCACGCTGGCTACCGCCATTAGTTGGCAGCAATTCAAATCGCGCTTCTGTGACTCAACGTGTGACGTATGATCATAGCTCTGCTCTGACTGGATATTAAAAGAAGGCGTGAAAAATATTCCGCGCGAGCTATTTCTATAAATAATTTTTCGCCCGAAAGGGTTGACTCCAAGGGCTTATATGGGAGATGAAGGCTTCAAGTAATCGGCTCCTGACTACTCACCATCTTTCTCCAGGTGTAAAATGGAGTTGTTCTGAATGTTGCATTCACCAACAGAGCGGCTATCTTCGAGTTGTTTGCCGTCAGACATAAGACGTTGTCGGTCAGGTGATATACCTTCTTGGACATGAATTTTGTCTTTCACATCTCGGATTGTATCGCTTGATTTTAGTTCCAAAGTGACTAGTTTCCCAGTTGACATCTTCAAGAAAACATTCATTTTTGGAATCAAGTGCAGAGTTGATTCTTTAAGAATGCCGTAATCATTTAGGGTGCCGCTATCTTCAAGTTCGGTGCCGGCAAACATAAGACACTGTTGATCACACGGAATTCCTTCTTTGACCTGAATTAGCCATTTTACGGTTTTGATTGAATGCTTTGAGTTAAGGTCTAAAGTGATCGTCCTTCCAGGAGGTATTTGCACAAAAAAATGCACTCTCGTGTGGTACTCCTGTCTCATGCTTACAACTAAATGCATTGTTGATCCCATATAGATGCCGTAGTCACAAACGTAGCCATCTTTCAATTTCTTGCCGGCAAAATAGAGACACTGTTGGTTTGAAGGGATTCCCTCTTTGTCCTGGATTTTAGTCTTTACAATTTCAATACTATCATGTTCGTGAGTTTCTAAAGCAATTTTTTTTCCAGCAAGTGTTCTCACAAAAATTAGCATGGTGGCACCGCGACTGAATTTTAGAACTAAATACAATGTTGATGCCATACCGATCATGTAGTCACTCAAAGTCTGGCCATCTTCCAACGACTTGTCGGCAAAATAGAGACTTTGATTCTCTGGAGGAATTCCCTCTTTGTCCTGGATTTTAGTCTTCACGGTTTCAATAGTATCCCTTGGGTCAGTTTCTAACTTAATTGTTCTTCCAGTCTTTGTTTTCACGAAGATTGTCATAGGGTCAACAGGTTGTATTAGAATTAATTTCAATGGGAATTCCTTCTGGAGGTTGTAGTCACTCAAGGTGTGGCCATCTTCCAACAGCTTGCCGGCAAAATAGAGACCTTGATCGTCGGGAAGTATTCCCTCTTTGTCCTGGATTATGTTCTTCACGATTTCAATAGTATCACTTGGTACAGTTTCTAAAGAAATTGTTTTTCCAGTCAGTGTTTCCACATAAATTCGCATAGTGTCACTGCGAAGTCTTATAACTAAATGCAATGTTGATTCCATACCGATGTTGTAGTGACTCAAAGTGTAGTCATCTTCCAAAACCTTGCTGCTAAAAAGGAGTCGTTGTTGGTCTGAAGGAATTCCCTCTTTGCGATGGATTTTATTCTTCACGGTTTTAATACTATCACTTGGTTCAGTTTCTAAAGTGATTGTTTTTCCAGTCAGTGTTTTCACAAAGATTTGCATGCAACCATATAGGGGCAAGTATCCACCTGAAAGTACTTGAACATCCCTTGTCCTTTTTGTTCCTGGTCTTGCTAAAGGCACTGGAAGAAATCAAATGAAAGTTCACTTTTGAGTTTTTCCACCAATTTAGAAAGAGACTGCGTTTATATCCAGACATGAACATGACGTATTATTATTACATTTGGGATCACGACTGGAGCCTTGGTATAGACTGCCAGAGAATAATAATTTTTATTTTTTTCTAAGCTTGCGAGCGGGCAGAATGCTCCAAATCCTGCAAGTTTGTTTGTTGTTGTGAATGAGCAAAACCGGTGATTCAGAACCATTTTTCTTTTAAAACTTGCGCTATTATTAGCGTTAGCTAGGGAAAAGTAAATTTTGTTATTCAGACAAAACATCTGAAGGGAGAATCAAGCAAGTCAGCCAGGAAATCCGCTTAAGTAAAGCACAACAGGCGGTTCGTGATGTCGCTTCACTAGTTTTATAACCTACGCTGTAAGTACTGCAATCTTGCTCTCATGCACCGTTTATTCGACATTTTTCCTCTGTTTGTAGGTTTGTTTTCCATTTTTGCTGTTTAAATCTAGATTCTGCCGTTTTTCATTGAATTTTGCCTCGCTAGGTTTCTACTTTTCAGAAAAGGTTGTTGTCAACGATTGCATGTAGCTTTCAATCTTGAATAAACAACACGAACAAATTTCCCAGCAGTCGGTTATCACCGTTTTTATTTCTTTGTTTATATTATTGTTTAGTTACCCATATCGCCTTCTTTTTTGTTATTCGAATTCACTTCAAAACCCTAAGATTGGTATGCGTAATTAGCTCTTTTTATAAAACCTCTGTGCAGTTTTAATCTCGCTCGATTGAATTAATCTTACAAGTAAATGTTCAGCCGAAGAAAATCTTTGATGTATTTTCTTTCCTGTGGCTTTTAAGTTCGTCAATTCTTTTATCCTTGTTTGACACTCAGATTTTGAATTGTCTACCAAAAAACAAAAACCTTTCTTTATTCTAAAAGAGAGCTTAATTATTGTGATAATATAAATTACAAGTTAAAAATCATGTTGTAATGTTTTGTTTTGGTTTGCAATCGAGCGCACGCTTTGAATAACATCAACACGAACGCGCCCTTCTTATGTATACATTTGAAATTTTACACCTCAGGTGGAATTATAGGACGTACGCAGATGGTTTAACTGTAAAAGGTATTGAACTTTCTTTATTGTTGAATCGTTTTTTAAAATGATAGACGGTGGAAAATTATAATCGATTTCCTTACAGATCCTTTAGAGGAATGACTAATTAATAATCAGAATTGAGCATGTATTGACAAAATAAAGGCCATTTCTTTGTCTTTTAACTCAAAAAAAAAAGAGCCGTTGACCAATGAGTGACCACGAATTTGTTAGGTTATCCTATTTTTCCATTTTTACGAACTTTTACGTTCATTTACTTTTCTCATGAACATAGGCACGTTTTACGTGCATGAGCTTTTTTGAATGCTTCAGTGTAACAGTATCGGCAATCTACTCTTTTAATCCTAGACTAGATTAGGGTTATGTTTTGTGCGAAATTAGGTATAGCTGCAAATTAATGAAAATGAGAACCGCTGCGCATAACTGGTTCGATCCTCATAATATAGATTCACTCTTCTCTCTTTTCTTCAGACATCTGGTGTAAAATAAACAAATTGTTAAAGTACTATGAAAATCAACTACTATGAACATCAATTCAAAAAACGTTGCTTTAATAGAGGGAAGACTCGAAGATTTCAAGGTTTCTTGATGGTTTCATAAAATAATGAAGCTCGTCGAAGAAATGTCACAATTTTCATCATTGTTGTAGATGGTTGCATCATCATAACCCAGCATCCCAAGTCTATTCTTTTATGTCTATGGCAAATTTTGAGGAGTTCAAGAACTCAAGACAAAGCTAAGTATCGGGCTATATACATTGACAGTTAATTATTAGCCAGTGAAGCCAAATGGCTTCTGACTCTGAGCTCCCTGAGCCTGAGCTCCCTTTTTCTCATTTAGGCAATAACGATTTTAATATTGCTTTATATGAAATGACACATGGGCCTCTACATTATGATAGCGAACGATTAAGCTCTCTTTTGTACAACCCAATTGATAATTCGTCTGTCTCTAATCAGTTTTTCTTTAATGAGTTAGATCCAGATCGACAGTTTACTTTTTCTCCTCCTCCTAGTAATTATTATACTGAGGATGAAATTAATGCTAAGCTAACTAACAGTTCAAATTCTCCTTGCTTCTCTGTATTTCATATTAATACACGAAGCCTACTCGGTCATTTAGATAAATTTAAATTCCTGCTTAGTCATTTGCAAAATCCATTTTCTGCCATATGCGTATCGGAAACCTGGCTAACTGAGCTTACGTCGGACCAGGTGGAAATACCTGGATATAAATTTATTTCGAACCACCGCGATAGCAAGTCCGCCGGTGGAGCAGGTCTTTATTTACTTGACGATTTAGAATACAAATTATGCCGCGATTGTAATTATTCTGAACCTGAAGTGATCGAAACTCTTTTTGTTGAAATTAACATTCCCAATGGGAAAAATATTATAGTTGGTACTGTTTATCGTCCGCCTAATTATAACACTCGGGACTTTTTGGAAAAATTTAATGAGATTCTTGCTAAAATAACTAGAAATGACAAATATTGTTATTTGGGTGGAGACTACAATATAGATCTGTTTCATTATTCCGATCATGCCCCTACTCAAGAATTTGTTGATAGTCTATTTTCCCATATGTTCATTCCTCTAATCAATAGACCGACTCGGATCACTGCTCATTCGGCCACACTTATTGATAATATATTCACGAATAATGTAAGGTGTAAACATTTCAATGGTATTGTTATTAATGATATTTCTGACCATCTACCGGTTTTTGTTTATGAAGTGGATGAGACAGAAATAGCGTCGAAAAAAATAGCCAAACTAAATATCTCACTAAAAGAGATTTTTCAGAAAGAAATAAGAGCAATTTTCGGCTCTCTCTTTCTCGTGTTAATTGAATTTACGTTTCGATGAAAGCGATACTAATGAATGTTATAATAGTTTTGTGAGTGAGTATGTTCGATTATACAATGAAAGCTTTCCATTAAAAACGATAAAACTTAAAACAAAGAAAGTAATGCGCTCCCCTTGGATAACGCAATCTCTGCTTGTTTCTATCAGGAAAAAAAGATAAACTCTATAAGCAGTTCATTAATTCTAGGGACTCAACTACTGAGTTAAAATACAAACGCTATCGGAACAAACTGAATCATCTTATAAAAATTGCTAAACGAAAGTACTATGATACAAAATTTGAGAAGGCTAAAAATAACCTGAAAGAAACTTGAAAACTAATCAATGATGTAATCAACAAACCGAGCAGAAAAGCAGCTCTGCCAAATTCCTTTTTCTCTGATGGAAAACTGTTAAATGATCCACAAGAAATAGCTAACTGCTTTTGTAAGTTCTTCACCAACATAGGTCCGAATTTAGCAAGGAAAATTCCAGACACACAAGTATCTTTTCGTAGTTTTCTTGGCGTTTCTGTTAATGAGTCGCTTATCTTAAATCCAACTAATATTTCGGAATTAAATCAAATATGCAACTCTTTTAAATCTGGAAAGTCGCCTGGATATGATAACGTTTCAATGGATATAATAAAAAGCACTTTTGATCTCATTTCTCAGCCTTTGGCCAATGTAATCAATTTGTCTCTTATTAAAGGAGTATTTCCTGATGAACTGAAAATTGCTAAACTGATTCCGGTATTTAAAGCTGGTGATTCCCAGTATTTCACTAACTACCGTCCAATTTCGCTTCTTTCTAATTTTTCTAAATTCTTTGAAAGAGTTATGCACAATCGTATTACAAATTTTTTAGATCGTTTAGATATCTTATATTGTTGCCAATTTGGATTTCGTAAAAAATATTCTACAGCGCTGTCTTTAATTCATCTTATTAATAAAATTGCAACTGCTATTGACAGAAGCGAATATACAGTTGGCATATTCTTAGACTTATCAAAAGCATTTGATACTTTAGACCATCAAATACTCTTGTCTAAGCTTGAGCATTATGGGATTCATGGGCTAGCACTTAGCTGGTTGAAAAGCTATTTGTCAAATCGCGTGCAGTTCGTCCAGTACAAAGAGACTTGTTCTATTAGGCTGACTCTGAGCTGTGGAGTCCCTCAAGGTTCTATATTAGGACCATTATTGTTTGGTCCTCCACTTATGTAACAAACCTTAATAGAATTTTTCTTCTACAAAAGCGAGCAGTACGAATTATTACAAATGCAGATTTTCGCGCGCACTCTAAACCATTATTTTTCCGTTTAAAGATTTTGGACATATACAACATTAATTCATTCTATACTGCACAATTTATGTTTTCATATTATCATCAATTACTGCCACCGCTTTTTTCGAACCTTTTTGTTACTAGTAGCAATATTCATAATTATAATACTAGAAGTTCCTCGCATTTCCGTTCTCATGCCTGCCGAACTAACACCAAACAATTTTCTATTTTGTTCCAAGGCCCTAAAATTTGGAATTCTTTACCAAACTCAGTCACTTCGATTTTTACATTGCAATCGTTTAAAACGAAAGTTTTTGATTTTCTACTATATCGATAATGCGTCTTGTACTGTCCGTTGTTGTGTGTTGTTATAGTTCTATTGCTTAATATTATTGTAACGAGGGGGCCTCCTCGTACAAGCCTTGTGGTTTTCTGAGGTCCCCTCGCCACATCTTTGTATAATGTAATGCTTGTGTAATCTTTATTGTGGAAATAATAAATAAATAAATAAATAAATAAATAAATCATTATTCACGAGGTTGTCACGTGCGATTCTAGTTTAATGAAACAGTCTAGACCCCTGACGACTTAATTCTACTTGTGTTATAAGTTATTGCTTCTTAAAAGAAATGAGCCTTTGCTTAGGCACTAGTTACAAAACTTAAGATATCTTCATACGTTCAAGTTACTATCATTACTATGAAAAGCCAGTATGAGATGTAGAATCACACAGTTTGCATGTGAAAGTGTTGGACTTTGCCCCTTTCGTTGTTCGTACGTGAGGGAATTCGAGTTATCGCAAGGTAATCGAGTAAACAGAATTATAAAAATAACTCATGCACACAATTTGCACGTGAGGATGTTGGACTTTGACCCTTTTACAATTCGTACGTTAAAAAAACGCAAATTGTCTACTACAAAAAATTTTTTCAAACGAGTGATTTTAAGAAATCGACTAGGCTTCATTACAACATCTGCAAATTATGCTTCATGCAACGTCATGGCTGATAGCCTAACGTTTATTAACTTCCAAGAAAATTATCAAACTGCCGAAATATATTTCTACTCATATCACGTTATTCCACTCAATAAAACAATATCTAATTATTGTGTCAATTAGCTTCTTCCAATTTTATTCCCTAACGCTCCTGTTTCTACTTAAGTCACGCATTTTTACTAAATAAAATACGTTTCAATAACTATAATGACTCTTAAGCGGCAAGCTTGTTTCACGTTGCTCACCTAATTCATGTTTTTTTTTATGACTGTCACACAGTATATGCGGCTCTTTTCCGTGTAATAATAATTTTGTAATAATTAAAAAAAATAATTCCTTTTTGACCAACTGCGTGAACTCAGGAGCCTGGATTAATGACCTTCTGTTTTGCCAGGAATGGCAAATCAACTGTACTGTAAAGCAAAACAACTGCATTGTAAACGTTAAAGGACGAAAGAGTGTCGTTTTGAGAAACTTACCCCTAGATGACTGATTTGCGGCACTTGAAGAGGCAAGTGTGTCAATCGACTGATTCATCTCTCCCAGTTGATCCATAATTTCTTTTGCTTCAAGACGAACTAGTGGCTCTATGCAGTCTGCTCCATCAAGTGTAGTGGCTTCAAGATCTGTAATGCTTTCAGATTCCTCTTGAACTGCTGCCTGAGTGTAAAATTGAAAGTGAAATGTGCGATTATTTTTCTGGGAAAAGGATAAAGAGCCGCAAGCTGATGATTAGCTCGATTCAAATAACTGAGTTGAATTTCACATTAACTTTCTTGGATAGGGACCAAAACTCTTATGCCCCCGGTATCACAGCACTTCTGATTTTAATTTGTGGGAGAAAAAAAAGCACAAACAACACAACGATCATTTGTAGTGTCTATCTATAATGGGTTGTGGGAATGCGTGGCGGGGAGAGAGTTACCTCAAATGGGATCTATGGGCCCCGTTGCAATCCATCCCATTTGGCAGGGATCGCAGTCAAACGAGAGAAATTTGCAAAAACCTAAACAAACTACACTAAAAATAATTTTTATCGTTGAAAGGTTAAAGCACAGCCTCCCATGTAGAAAATCTTTTGGCTCGTAACGCAATCCTCCCCAACGAAGGAAGGAACGCGTGACAAAGCCCTGAAAAGGTCTCCATGGGAGGCTAGTTAAAGTATTACCAATATCCGGCTATGTTAATTTACTGAACTTTGAAAATTTACTAAAAATGGTTTACGTGTTTGAGCTGGTGTTATTATCGGCTCCATTTTCCAGCGTGATTTATTTATTTACTTAGTTTCGTCAGATTCTTAGCAGGGTCACTGAAACAGCGCGTGGCGCCTCCATGCGGGCCCGTAACAGAACCTCCCCCAATGAGGGGGAGGGCCTGAGGACTATGTCACCTAGGGACTACGTCACCTACTCTTCACGAACAGTCTGTTGGTTCTTTATCATCCCACATAATATATATGTGCAAGGGTTTTGGGTTAATTGTCCTTATCCGAGAAAACTAGAAAGTTTAACTGTTTGCAGATGTCTTTACAAAGGCAGCACTTTCTCCTCAGTTATTTAAAGACCCTGAATGTTGCATTGGTCAGGCCAGGGTTTGAACCAACGGCTTCCCGCTCGTCAGCGCGGCGCTTATCCTCGATTATCCAATTGAGCTAACCGGGCAGTCGGCGATTTTACTCGGGCTGAAGTGTTTTTAACGAAGGGAAGGTAACGAATTGTTATATACATGTTTGCCCATTATTACACTTCAGTACTCACCGTCTGGTAAATGAAATCTCACCATATTGCATATCAAGGATAAACTCATTTCAATATTTTCGCACTTACTCAAAACTTTCACAAACCTTACTTGATTCAAACAATTATATTCCTCCTTTTAAGATTACCATATTGAGGTCTTGCTGGGCTCAGTAAAGGCAGTAGAATTTAACTATCTGCTAGATGTCAAAAAGTATAAATTTGTGTTGAACTGGAAGTTAAAATGTCCTCTCTACGATGGATGATGACAAGTTTTGCTTTGGTTTTGTTTTTCTTACTTTCAACCCTACCTCCAAACGATTTATCCGTACAGTGACTTCCTCTATGGATTTCTTGGTCTCCATATCACTTATGTACCAAGCCTTAAGTTCTTGCACATTTCGTTCATCTTCAGTTGTAAGAGGATCTGTTAAATATTTAGCAATGGCTCCCTGCCATGCAGTTTTCCTTGTAGAACTGATCTGCCCAGCCATCCTCACAAGAGCTTCACTGATTTCCTGCCAAAGTGTTGGAAACTCATCATCTGTAATTGTCATGCCTTGGTTCACGTGACCATAGACTGAGTTTCGGTAATACCTTATTCTTGCTAAATCAGCTGTTAAACTGTGATCTGTAGTGACTGGTGGTGCATCCCATCCCGTGGAGGGAGGGGTGAGGTTACATATTGTCCTTAGCAAACGGAATAGCAGAGTGATATCAAAATCTTCTGACTTACCGTACATCCCTGGGGAGGGACAAAGACAGTACCACTGTTGCGTGGCGAGTTTTGCAGCTTTGAGCCGTTTCTTTATTGCTGGAGTGCTAAGAATCGTAGGAAGATTACTTGGAAGACATATAGAGTCAAATATCTCCCTCAGCAGGCTGGTCCCTCCACTTATTAAAAGTCGTGTAATGCGTTGGAAATTTTCTTTTCCACTTGTTGAACGACGAATTTCATCTGGGTCTCGGGCAGCCGCCATTTTCTTTTATCTCAGACTTTAATATGGGTGACTGGATATCACTAGGGAAATAGGATGCAAACATTACTGAAGTATTTGCTGAAATAATTAGCTAGTTCTTTTAACACTTAAAATATCAGTCAATCAAATTGGGCCTCAAACTCCACACATGTTCAATATACACAAACGGATACAATTCGTCAAACCGATGGTCCATTGGTACCAATGGTAGGATTGGTACCAATAGAAAAGCACATCATTCCAATGGTTCTATTGGTAAATATGCATCTCATTAAGGGCACTTAGATTATTTTCCCATGTGACCTGGCTGGGTACAGGGCAATTCCGATGGTTAATTGGTAGCAATGGTACGATTGGTACCAATAAAAAATGCTGTCATTCCAATGGTTCTATTGGTGAATAAAGCGAGGTCGAAATACAAACATGCCATGTGTATTCTTCGTTCTGTAAGCCATCTATGACATCATTTTCTATTGGTACCAATCGTACCATTGGTACCAATGGACCATTGGATTACAGCTTTTAGCCCTCCAAGCAGACGTTCTTGGGGCTTCGGCACGTGTTTCCTCCCCGCTAGAGTTGGGACGAGAGATTACTTGACGACCCAAAAGAACGTCTTCTTTGGAGGCGAGGACTACTACTGCTTCATGTTAGTCCGCAATCTGTTTAGCCTGAGAAAACAGCCGACATTTGGCGACGCGACCACTGATTTCCCCGCCTAATGACGTCTGAGAAACGAGCGCAGAAATTCCAAACTTATGACACGTCACTACCCAGATCTGGGTGGTGCTTCTGATTGGTTGAATCAAATTTCTCACGCGGCACGACAAATCAGATGGACTACCCAGATCTGGGTAGTGACGCGGCATCACAGTATGGAATTTCTGCGCTCGTTTCTCAGACATTATTTGGCGGGGAAACCAGTGGTATCGTCGCCAAATTGCGGCTGTTTTCTCAGGCTACAATCTGTTTATCTCATTTTTAGAAAACTAAAAGAGCTCTAACCGTTTTTTAAAAACTTCAAGGGCTGTTTTTTAACGTAGTCTGCGTTTTATACCTGCACGGCTCACGGTGGCAGTTTCTGGTGCGTGTTTTACGTATAATAGTTGTATTTATTTCTCCATAGACTAAACAAGTTTACAGAAATGAATACGTAACTTAAAAAATAACTTAATTGAAAAAAGGGCAAAAATAGTAAAATTAATACATTGTCCTAACAGATCGAAAAATGAAAGAATTTCTAATTAAGTGGATATACGATCAAATGCTAATAACGAAAAACAAAAAAGATAACATACAGTATACTCCAGTCATTTTGTGGAAAAAAGTAGGTTAACCTAGAACTAATTGCAACAGAAGATATTCTAACTGTTTTAGGCTCAGAAAACTATCCTTAACATATCAACAAGTACTACAAAGTCTAAGCAAGGGAAGTCGCTTAAAAACGGGATTATTTAAGAAGATCGATCAGATACCTTTCCGAGACCCTTGTTTACTATACAGCATGGAAACGAGGCTTGTCAAATGTCTTTCGATCCTTAACGCTTATACTAGAGGCCTTTTTGTAATATAATCACTAAAAAAGATAAACGCAGGGGAAATATGAAGTTACTTTAATCCTTTTATACTTTAATGGGTAGGAGAGAGATCTACTTTAGAAAATATTAAATAATGGGGCCCATTGAACGGTCATCGTCGCGTGTGGCCAGTTTAGCATCTAAGGGTCCTTTTCAATGCAATTTAATTTTGTGCACGTGCACATGAAACTTAAAAATAATGCCAGTGAATAATGAGGAAGCCCACTCGTAAACACAAAATCTGGGAGGAAAATTTGTGACATTGGAAGCCCAATTTAATTGCCTTCCTTGTTTTCGATGTCCTTGAAACTTGGACGCAATATGAATTGTAATTAATTTCGGGATATGTTCCAATTAGTTCCAGGTCCAACCACAAATGTCCGGACTAATAAGCAAATAAAATGCAACTGGTCAAAACACACGCACACACGCCACACACAAAAGCAAACTATATTAAAAGTATGCGTTGATAAAGCAACTAAGTCAATCTAGCGTTTATATATTCAGTATCGGGATAAGTAATGACTGAAGAGGGAATTCTTTTAAAAAACTATTTTTAAATAGTTTTGTTATTAAGCCTAGAGCGGATGGAAAGGGGAAGATCGTTCCAAAAATGTCCAATAATGGTGGAAGAGAACTTTCTAATGTTTCTTCTGTAAAAGGGAATATATAGATGTTCTGAAGAGACATTACAAGTAGTATAGCTATGTTGTCCTGATATAGAAGTGGTATTATAAAATTGAAGGGTCCGGAATTTTATAAAATCTCTGATGAAAGCCTCTAGAGTAACGCTCCAAAGCCAAGAGCCGTTCGTAAAGGGAATTAATCGGTCATCATCTGATCGATCTATCTTGTTCGCTTTTGATCAGGGGATGGCATTCACACTTTCCTGGAGCGAACCAAGTGTCACCCGAGCAAACGTCTCAAGGTCTTGTTCTTCGCCTTGCTTTCGTACTCATACTTCTAGGTAACTTAAACGGCACAAATACATACAAAGAGACCAGTCTGCGGTTTGTTTTGACGGCTATAAGGGAGCCGTCAAGGCCCGGGGAACACCTATCAGTGAATAAATTCATAAGGCAAAATATTTCTTGTGCTACATCTTTTAAAAAGCTTATATCTCGGCTGCCTTAGAGGCGATTTATTGAAAAAAAATTACATTGATGTTGCAGTTAATTTTTTATTTCAGTAAATCGTTGATTTTCCTTTTTTAAAAATTCATTAGCATACATTACCATACTCACAAACAATAGAAAAATCAAAATTACCTGAGTTATAAAATTGACTGAAACAGAGACATTGCGAAATGATAGAAGTTTAGGAGAATTTTTTTTGTAGATCTTGATTTACAGCGATGCTTTAAGCCACAGTTGTACCAAATTGGGAAATCGTGATTTTGTGTCCAAGTTCGTGGAAAGAAAAGAAGACAGCACTCTGTGATTTTCGTAATAAATGATCGGTTAAATGAGCAAAATCTGTCATCCCTGAAATTAACCCCTTATATCTTTTTCCGCTAAATACAAAACACCCTACAGTCTAAAAAGTTTGCCCCTCTGCAGTGTTAACACTTGGACACAAAATTGTCGGAAAACGCAACTTTTGAGACTTCCGAAGGCTTCCCGACTGCTACGAGAATGCCAAGCAAAGCCTGCCTAATTATGGTAATTATTGTAATTACATTCCACGCTTTGATTTTGTTAAAAGCTGCAATGTTTTTAAGGATTTTTTGAGAAGGAAAAAAAGAAACGTACAAAGAGTTTTGGTATTAAATTTGGTTGAAATTTCCTATAATTTCCTTATTTATATTTCCATATTATTAAAAATCACTGAAATAAGGTGCGATTCAGAACCACTTTGTTAATTTTGAATATTAACATTTTGTTCGCAGTCTGCGTGTCACACGTACCTGAACACTCAAATTATGCGCTCATCTTTCACCCAGTTATGAATATCTCGTAAACCTGTCGATATGAGTCGTTGTACCTCGTGCATACGCGTTAAATAAATGCATAACAATGAGTGCAAGGAGTCCCCCACGTCCTTAAGCAACGACGACGGCAGTGAAAACGTCGCTAAAAAATGAATTTGCGTCCTTTCAAACTTACTCGCGTCTATTTGTGACCCTTTCAATTTGTCAAATGAAGGCAATTTCTCCTGGAGTGGACTTTTTAAGGACTTAATCCAGGTTCAAAAAAAGAAAGGAAAATTTGTCGTCGTGTATTTACGTCCTCCATAGAATGTCGCATTAAGCTACTTGTTCAAACTTTGCGCAACAACTCCCAACAACATGCAACAACATGCAACAGGGTGTGAAGATGGACGCAACGTGTCCATCCAACAATATTGGGAGTTCTTGCCGAAATAGAAAGCTTGAGCGACAACGGCGACGTTTACGAAAACGTCATTTAAAAAGTGTGTTCGCGCTGGTTAAAACTTCATCGCGTTTATTCAATCTCGTTCAATTTGTTAAACGTTGGCGAATTTGTCTGGAGTTGGATTCTAAAGGACTGTAACAAAGTTCAGGAAAAGCAAAAGAGGGGTCGTTGTCTTGTGTTCACGTCTTCCACAAAACGTCAGATTATAATTAATCTCGTCGTAGTCATGCAACGACTACAAGGAAATGTACAAAAAAGGATGATGCACGTGCAAAGTTGTTGATTTGCTGAACTTGTTTTTTTAGACGTTCTCGTTTTCATCGCGTCGTTGAATCTTAAATGTTGAATCTTAACTTGTTGCGTCCGTTTACACGTTGTTTTAGAGGGTTTCACGCGCGATGCTTGTGGAGAGCTGTTGTTTTGCTCATAAATCCAATAGCGCTGCGCGCAGTTACTATTTAAAGACCCGAAACTCAGACAAACAAACTGAAATTAACATTAGCGAATCCCTTACTTTTGTCTGACTTTTGTTATTGAAATATCGTGTTTGCCTGTCTTTTGTCATTAAAATTACAAAAATGACAAAACTCAGACAAAAATTGCAAATTGGTCACTTTGACGTCATTCGCGTGCTACGCTATTGTTATTGACAATTAATGTCGTCGTCGTTGCTTAAAATTCAAATCATCAATCATTGAATGAATGCAAATCTGATTGAATGTTACACTCATACGAAACAAGTATAATATTCCTTCAAGACCCTTCTACCTGGTACAATTATGAATAAATAAAAATACTGCAGTATCTCGAGTTGGCCTATCTTATCCTCTCCGTGTATTCGCTATTCCAACCGAGCCAAGATGTTAATCAAATGGTAAGCGATGGTAAGCTGGCGTGACGAGCCGATATTTCGCGTTCAAAAGATACGATTATCGAAGAATTTGGTCGTCTGTAAAGCGTCTCTATTCACTATAATCATGTTAATTTCAAGGACAAGTCGCTCTTACTAGCAAGTTAATGTTGATAGTGTCAGCTATCCTACTGAAAT